ACCAAACCACCGACGACCACACGATTATCTCCTCCGATCAAACTCCAACCGACGACTCTATCTCCGCCGACTTCGACTCTCCCTCGACGGCAACCCTTTCGTCGACGACGAATTCGCACCAAGCTCCCGTCGATCGCGACCTTCAACCCTAACCCCCAAATTAACCCTCCTCTCCCTCGCGACACTCACCGGTGCTCTAATTCACTCTCCCCTCCGTGCAACTCCAGCCACCGTCCTCCTTCACCGGCGTATTTGTCTCAATCGCGCCCTCTCACAACAGCGCCCACTCTTCCCTCTCGCGAAATTGCAACCCTAGACCCTAAATTCCGACCACCAAGTCTCACCGGCAGTACCTCCGGCCATCCCTCAACCCTGACCAACCACCTCAGGCGAGCCTTCACGTCCGGTGAACTCGTTTCCCTCCGACAGCAACTCCGACAGACCCCCACTCTTTCTTCCCTCGCGAGACACGGTCCCAGCACTGGGCCCGTTTTTTGCCCACTACGAGCCACCGTCCGTCTTCTCCAGCCAGCACCTCGCCGGCGTCCATTGTCCGTTGACCGGCTGCGACTCAACGCCATGCTCCACGCATCACAACTTCACTTCTTCGAGCTCTTTCTTAGCACACTCTTGAGTCGGCGCCCGGTAATCGTAATCTCGTACTTCTTGCTATCTTGTGGAGCATTGATATTGTTTGAGTTGTTTGTTGAGCAATTTGATTGAGGAACGGGGCTTCACCATCTCTATTCTCTACACGCTTGTAGTTCACGCCTGTGCATATAAGGTGTTTGTTAGTTTTCTTGAAAGAGGACTACTTATTCAATATGGTGAAAAAGGGAGCCCGCAACAAACGTAAGAAGCCCGTCGGGGAATCCTCTTCCTCTCGGGACGAGCCGGTTGATTTACGGACCGACTACAATGCCCCCTTTGCTATTCTCTCAGAACGAGGAGGGAGGTTTATGCCCGGCTCACGAAGAAGGATGTCTTGAAATAAAAAATGTTCGACTTCGCCTTGCTCTCCGATCTTGGGATTTTAGAGACCATCGAGTCCTACCTTGACGCGCTCCGCTTGAAGTCTTACGCCCGCTTGGTCCACCCGACATACCGAAACCTCACACTCGAGTTTTTCAGTACACTCGAGATTCTGCCGACCGAGGACTACATGACGTGTCGTCTACTTGGGACAGAGAGGATCATCACTGTCGACATCATGGAAAAAGTCGTGGGACTCCACAGTGGCGGTGCAAGGATGAATGAAGGAATGACTCCTGATATTTTCTGGCCCCAGCTTTCTCCCGACACGGTGTGGGACTCGCAGGGCTTGGCGAATAGCCTCATCAAGGACGGTGTTGTCGCTGTGATGCACAAATTTTTGTGTTATGGTGTGTTCGGGAAGAAGGAGGCCAACAAGGTCACTCAGATTGACCTCGCCCTGCTGTGGGCTATGCTCGAGAGGAAGAACCGAGATATGTTAGATATTTTTAAGGAAGAGTATCAAGCCGTCATTCGGAACAAGAGAGCGGTAGCCTGCTTTGGTCCTATAGTGACCGCTCTGGCTTTGCACTTCCACGCTGACCCGGAGGCGTCTGACAACCTTCCTACTCGTATGTGGTTCATTGACTCCTACGAGCTGTCTCATTGGGGTCTAATCCGTGATCGTCGCACCTTTGAGGCCTATACAAAACGCCCGGCCTACACTACCTATATGAATAAGTTAAATGCGGCCGCTTCCACAGCTCAGGCAGACTCGTCTCGCCCTCAGCAAGAGATCGAGGATACCCACGAGACGGTGGCGATGGAGCATGATCAGGTTCTTATCGACGAGGACCATCGCCTTCCACCTCCTGATGATTGGCAACCGACCCTGGAGGTAGATTCCCAAGAGCCACGGACCACCCGTTCGCAGCAGCGACCAGCAGGTACGTCTGCACCGCCCACTTGGTGGTCCCAGCCTCCTCCGTGGTGGATAGCGTTCGAGGTCCGCGACGATCGGGACATGTGCGACATTAGTGCCCGGTTTGACAGTGCCGACCTTCGCTTTTAGGCTATAGAGGTATGGCAGACCTAGTGGGACGCTCAGTTTGCACTGTGGAGCTCCGGCACCGGCCATCCTATCCTCCTCCTGGACCACAGTGACTTGTCACTGTGTTGGTTAGCTTTTTCTTTTTGTTTTCTCTTTATTATGTTTATTTTTTGTATTTTCTCTTTGTTGTGTCGTGTCAGTTCATTATGTAGTACACCTTCCTTACACTGTAGATCGACAATGGGGACATTGTCTGATTTTAAGTGTGGGGGAGTTTTATGTGGCTATTTGGTTGACGAGGTCTAGTTTCTTTTGTTTTAGGATGTGTTTTTATTTCTTTCTCTTGCTTTGTGGACCGGTCTAGTGTAGGTCTTATTTGTTTTGGAGTCTGTACTTGGAAAACTCATGATGAGTGGAGACGTGTTTAATGAATTCGATGAGTTGTGATGATGGTGTTGTATGGCATAGCGTGATGAAATGCTTGGTTAATTGCTTTGATTGACATTCGTATATTTGTCGAGTGAGGTTTGAGCCTTATTTCTTTCTTGAGATACATTGGTCGTGCTCTTGTTTGATTAGAACTTGCCCTGAGTCTGCATCGAAATGAATCCATTTAGGTTGTGAACTGTGAATATGATTAAGGCATTTTTTGTATTTTTCTATCCTTTTTTTTTTCTGCAGTTATTCCCTAGTTGCCCTTTTGAGCCTAATTGTTTTTTTATATATATAACCTCGTGATGATGACATTGTTGAGTCTTGGGTTGAGAATGGGAGGGGATAATTGTGGAGTTTTGTTTATATTTCCAAAGAAAAAAAAAAGAAAAAAGAAAAAATGTAGCCGAATGGATTGTAAATGTCCAAAGAGGTTGACAAAAAAAATAAAAAAAAAAGAAAAAAAATGTGACCAAAAAAGGGTCGCACCGAAAAAAAAAAGAAAAAAGAAAAAAAAAAGAAAAAAAAGAGAAGCAAAACAAAATAAGTTGGGTGAAACATGTGTTTTTAGGAGAAGTGTGGGGGAAGATCAGGTTTGTTTGAGCAACCGGTTGAGCTTGCATTCGTGGGTTAGGAGTTTGAGTTGTATTCGAGCCACTTAGCCTATATTTATCCTACCTGTCCAAAGAGCCTACGTTACAACCCTGAAAGACCTTTTGATTCACTAGTCTCGATTTTGATTGGTTTAGAGTAGAAGTTAGACAATGGGCAAGCCTATGATGGAACTTGTTGTTGACCAATTTGAGTGCACCTATATCTTTATCTGTATAAAAAAGTGAGTGAGGCACACATATACATTCTCATACTTGAGAGGACGTCATATTAAAGTTTAGCGATCAAGCATGTAGTCGTGTTATGTTCGTATGTGCCATTAGAATGCTCATTGTTGAAGTTGAACTTGTTGAGACTTATCTTGTTATCGACTGATGTCCAGGCTCATTTTGGTTTTGTGTCTTTTCATTTTTTTTCATTTTTGTTCGGGACGAACAAAGGTCTTAGTGTGGGGGAGTTGTTTGTCCCATTTTTGTGTCTTTATTTCATGTTTATTTTCTTTTTATTTTTTCCCACTTGTAGGATTTTCGTAGCTTATTTGGTCCATTTCTTTTGTTTTGTGTTTTTACCCCTAGTTTATATTTTTGTGTCTTTTTGTTGTATTTTGCTCCATGTTTTTCTGTGTTTGTGTTTTCAGAAGGTAGGTTGTGTCGGTCGAGGTTAGGATTGCTTGAGCTGAGACTGTGATATCGAGAATTCCCGTGGCCGAGCCCAGAAAACGACGAAGAGGACAGAAGGACGGACTGAAAACTGCTCCCATAATTTCTCGCGACTCGCGACATGGGTCACAACTCGTGAAAGTGTCGCGACCCGTGAAAAAAACTGAGGCTTAAGAGGCAGTTCGGAGCGAGAGTCGCGACTCGCGAGCTATGTCGCGACAAAACCCCAGAAGTTTAGATTTTGACGACGCGCGACTCGCGACCGGGAAGAAGTTGAAGTCGCGACTCGCGACTTATCTGCGCGAATTTCAAGGAGCGGGATTTTAACATCAGATTTCGGTCCTAGGGATCATTATTCGACTTCCAGACATTATTTTTACGCTTTTTCTCTCTAGAAACTCATTCCTTTTCATGCTTTTTATCTTTTGATTCGATTTAAAGATTGAAAAACTCCTTTTTCTCGCTTTGAATTTGGATTGTTTATTGGATTTGACATTGGATTCTCTATATTAATCGTAAGTTCTTTTCTCAATTGCTTTGTTGATGATGATGGCTTGGGTTGATATGAATTGTGATGTTAAATTCATTATGAGTAGCTAAATCCATTCGCTAGGGATAGGGGATGATTGATTAGGGTCGTTTTAATTGAATGCTTTTGATTGTTCATATCTATTCGAGTTGTGTGCATTATAGGGTTAGTAGATTGATCACCTTTCTAACCTAGTTAATCAACATGTAGAACCGAGAAGGGAGAGGTTGGTCAATTTAGGCTCGTTTAGAATAGACTTGTTCGTCTATGTGTTGTAGGAATTGATAGTTGATTATTTACATTCACTCTCTTGTTACGAAGAGTTATTGAGAGTGAACCTCTGACCGAGAAACGATTCAAGTCCTTTAACCGAGCAATTGATTGCCGGTGATTATGTTAGAATCGAAAGCAATTATCCCCGATTCCCTAGCTCTTCAATCATTCAGTGAATTTATTTGCCACTTTACTTTCATTTTATTTAGTTTAAATCATTAGTTGATAATTGAAACCTAAAAATATTGAATTAGAGTGTTTAGGATTTTGTCTTCTCTTTTTCGTGATTGAATAAACGCACAAGAATATCCGACTATCCTTCCTTGCGATACGACCCGAGGAACGAATCTTTCGATTCTACTCCGGTAAAAATACTGACAACAATGGTGCTGCCACAAAACTTAATGACTGGAACTGGGTGCCTGGACTTAGCAGAGGGAAACCTGAACTTCGGGTTCAGATTGATGGTGATATGTTTTGGGTAAAGGACTTGCTGATTGCAGGTGGATGTGAGTGGGACGTCAACCTAGTTATAGCTCTATTTAATGAGGAGGATGCTCATAAGATTTTGCTGATTAAGTCATTAAATCCCAGAGCTACTGACATGTGGGTGTTCATTTGTGAACAAAGGCAACTTCTCAGTTAAAACAACATACTCTCTGATGATGGCTGAAAAACTGAATGCAATGGAGGTAGCTGAAAGCAGCTGGGTGGCAGGAGGCAGTAGAAAAGCAAAAAACAGATATTGGAAACACAATGTGATGGGCAAAGTAAAACACTTCATTTGGAAGTGTTATTCAAACATTCTGCCAGTTACATGCAATCTAAAAGCTAGGGGCATTGAAATTGACACAGTGTGCAAAGTGTGTGGAGAGGCAGAAGAAACCCAAGACCATGTCCAGTTCCAATGTGTCAGAGCCATCAAGGTTTGAAAGATAGCACTAGTACAATGGAATACAGTACACCAGGAGCAGCTAAGCTTCAAGGAGTGGTGGTGGCGGATCAGTACCATGGATGCAAAGGACACTTCAGAACAGAGGATCCCGCTCTCCACCTAAATTTTTGGTGGCTCTGGAAAGCTCGTAACATTTGGGTTTTTGAAGGCCAAAGGCAGCCAGAGGTGAGAATTATGAAGGCAACAATGAAGGACTGGCTTGAGTTCACAGCAATCAACTCCAAGGTTTAAGTGAGGAAGGAGGGGGAAGAACTAGGTCCAGTGTCAGTGGTTTTTTCTTTTCCTTTTCTTTCTTTTACTGTATTATAGCTGTGAGGTTTCTGATATGTTTTACTTGTGTTATTGTATGTTCATTGCTAGTTTGTTTTGGTTGATATGCCGTGATGATGTATTAATTAGCTGCTATGTTTGGTGGGTTTGGTTTAGGGTACACAGTGTATACACTTCCTCTCAGTTACCCAGGATGGGGATTTCCCCAATGTACATTACCATTTTATGGTGTTTTTATTTATTTATGGAGATTTTATGCCGTTNAAAAAAAAAAAAAAGATGTTCAATTAAAAATAATTGAATGTCTATAAAGTTTGTTCTCTTATCACATACCACCGATCCTTTCTGCAACGCCCCGTTCGTTTATTAGAATTTCCCATATTTTCATATTAATTATTTATTCGCCTCGCTTTGTGGATACCAACGCCTAGCGGATCGGTACGAAGGACTCAGACACATTTCTCGGAATGATTCGGCGTGACAGAAACCCCACGGACATTCAAAGTCAGGATCGTGAAGTAATGCATCGCTATGAAGGGAGTCAAGAAGATTCGTTTCAACGAAACAAAGTCGACGGCAATACCAAGAAGTGTGTTTCTACCTTAAAGGATTATGAAGGATCTTTTAAGGAGGATGGATAGTCGAGTCTAGCACAAGCACATCGTGAGGTGCAAAAACCGTCTTCATTCTTGAAGTTTATTTATTGTAGGCTTTAGAAACTCCCATTCTTTTACTCCTTTCGGAGTTTCGGGAGAAATCTTTTGTCTTCTTTAGACTTTTGCGATCCTTTGCAAACACTTGTTTTTGCTTTTGATTCAAGTATTGCAACCTTGTGCATCAATTAAGACAAGTATTTTTGTTTTTCCAGTTGTCTTATGTCATTCCTGCAGTTGTGGTTATGTCTTTCGAACTGAATAATTCCCCGTCGTTTTCGTGGACCTCATGGACCGAGTACTCCATTCATATCTGGATTAGTTCATCGTTTTCGTTGATAATATACTAGTCTATTTTCGAGATGCTGTCAAGACGAATGAACCGACGACGAGGATGACCAACCGCTACTAGGGAATAAGGACCTGTTCAGTTAATTGAAGATTTGGGGTTGAGCTCGTTTAGGACTGCTGGCACAATTAGCTACCTAAGAGAGAAAGCTGATGTGACGGTCGACATTGTTAGTCGGAAGAGTCGAGACGAGCTAACTATGTAATGTCTCAGCAGGAGCCGCTGACTTAAGGAGAATCGTCATTAGAGTTCTTTTGAGATTTCGCCTATCATTAAATCTGTTGGGTATTCGTAGTATTATTTGGGAAAAGTAGTGGACTTGGAGCTCAGACTTGCACCTTGCTATTTTTGAAACTCTTGAAACTTTTGAAATTGTGAAACGCCTGAATGATATTGTTTGGTTAAACCCAAATTTTCTGAAAATTTGGTAAAATCATTCCTTTTTGGGACTATCTTGGATTGAAATTTTCTTGTGGAACTTGAAACGAACGCCTGCCCTGGCTGAGTGTAGCCATGCGAAGTGGTGGCCGAGCAACACACGACTGTGCTGAGAGACACGAGGCTAGCGCGCAGCTGATCGTCGACTCGCACGTGAGCTGCAGCCGCCATCAGCGGACGCACGAACTCCCTGAGCCAGCGTGTGCGGCCAAACCTCGACCATGCAGCTGGTCTCTAAGTAGGTGTGTGCATGCGCGTCCCAGCACCTCGTTTATGCAGCGCCAGCGAGTGTGCCTCCTCTTGGGTGACAGTGCACTAACCCCGAACAGTCGACTTCTTTTCTGAACTATTCGACCAGTTTTCATGCTGGGCTATTTTGTTAGCCTCTTAAACCCTTTCTTTTGAACCTTGAACCGAGAGCTCCAAATTCCACTAAAATGTGTATGAATTATTTAATCACTGGTTTTCGATTAAGGAGTGTGGTTGATAAGTTTCTTTGCCTTACATGAGAGTTTCTCGAGTCGGCAAGATAGGAAGTTTCGTTTTTTTATCTAACGGAGCCTTATGTAGCATATAGAGGCTACATTTGACTCGTAGAGTCGAGATTATTGAGAGTATGAACCTATTGGAGTTGCATCGACTATATGGGGTACCGTGTTGACGTTTCTGAGGAGACGCACGGTCCGTAATGAAATCGTGAGCAATTTTTCAGTGTGACCCAGGCACGAGACTGAAGCTTGGCGTCACGTATCCACCCTTGATGGTTGGGCAGTCGGAGCACGCTAACAATACACCGAATGACCTGTTGGGGTCTTGTGTGTTGTTAGGTGCGTTGCGAAATGGTTAGATACACGTGGGTATAGACTAAACCGGACTGAGTCCCTTGCAAGAGAATGTACGCCTGAGCACGGGCAGGATGGAGTGCCCTCCCCTGCAAGAAGGTAAGCATATGAGCATAGGGCGAGTCGGATTGGTTCTGTATATGGGTGTATGTCATTTTGAGTCTAGGGCGATAAGACTCAGGCGAGCGAGGTTGAATTTCGGAGGGGATATCCGGACCTCGTGGTTGGAAATTCTCTCTTAAGTCCGTCGTTTCCTCTGGTTGTGTTCTATAGTATTTCCGAGGACGAAAATCTTTTAAGGAGGATAGAATGTAACGCCCCATTAGTTTATTAGAATTTTTCATATTTTCATATTAATTAGTTATTCGCCTCGCCTTTATTTTAGTCGTAGTGCTCGACAAATTTTCCCTATTAAGTTTATTAGAATTAAATAGATGTTCTCGTCTATTAATTTTCTTAATTAATTCACCTAATCAAAATTTATATTTAAGAGGATGTCCTCGTCTTCTTAATTAATATTTTGTGCTCTTGCTTATTTGAATTGGTCTTAGTGCCTAAATTGTCATTGTTTTGCCTAAGTGTACTAATTGTTTATTTATTTTATTTTATTTTCCCTAAGTAATTATCAGGCCTAAGTGTATTTACTTGTTCTGGTGTTTATTTTGGTTTGCTAAGTGTTTGTCTAGTATCTAGTAAGTCCAGCGAATTAAGATCAAGTTTTTTTTTTCGGCCCATTTGTGCCTTGACCCAATAACTCAAGCCCAACAAGTAATGAGACCAGATCACTACCCGATCGAATTTCCCCTCCTCTCGGATTTTCACTCCTACCCTTCAATAGCTCATCCGCCACCATCGGAGACCACGACGCCCTAACCCAACTATCTCCATGGAATATCGGCTCTTCCACACCCTAATACTCCCATTACTTAAACAGCACAAAACGCCCATCGTCATCCTCAATTTCTTCTCCTGCAAAAATTCCCAAACCCCTCTCCATTTCACTCGCAAACTGGCCCTCCTCCCGCCGCTGCCCCCGATCCACCGCTAACAGCCGGCCCGGCGACGAGAAATCCCGATGTTTCAACGATTTTCGATGAGTTCGAGCCCTAATCTCAAGTCACGATGAGTCCAGACTCCCGACAGCGAGATGAACACGTGACAGGGGGAAGGTAGCCACGACAGGAACAAATTTCTGAGGACCGAGCCATTCACGGTGATATGGTCCGAGATAGGTGACTCTGGTCTTTCGAAGGGTTCTTCCCAGTTGCGGCGTGAACACGTCTAACTTGGTCCGATCTAAGCTCGAATGCGCCGGAATTGCTCCGACGCAAGACCCTCTGACGCCCAAGTTAGTGTCTCGGTTTTGAGAGAGAAAATGTGTGTAATTGATGTTGTAGAAATGTAATAATGATCAGTCTCTTCTTACCAATACTGCATTAACCCTTTATATAGTGTTTTCACTGCACGGTTCTTCATTGGGCGCTGCTAACAAGGGTCGAACAGGGGTTGGAGTTTAACCCTTGTCCAGCGGGTCGATTTAGTGGGTCGACATCCCATGGGTCGATCTCAAGACTGACGGGTCGATGCCCCTGCGTGTGTAGGGCTGAAGGGTCGATGACCCTGCTCTTGTGTGGGTAAGGCTGACGGGTCGATTCCCCTGCGTGGGTAAGGCTGACGGGTCGATGCCTCTTCGTGGGTCGACCCTACACCCACTTACTACTTTAGCCCACTCGACTTTGTTTAACGGGTCTTTGCTTGACCGGTCCAGTTAGATACTATAATCCCTATCAACTACTCCCCCCTATTTACGAGTGCACGGGTCGATAACCGTGCGGTCGTAAATATAATGTCTCAGAAGTCCATTGTCGGCAATCGCGTCTTGGGTCGACCACACACCTTGGCCAATCTACCCGACACAGAATTTCACACCCTTATTTTGGGTCGACCACATAAATTCAATACAATTCCACACTGCTTTATGCTCGGTTAACCCCGATTAATGAGAAGGTCTCGATTTTGGGTCTTAGTCTTTGAACACTTTTGACTAATGTCTTTTCTCCTCTTCCAAGACAATGCCACCCACTTTAAGTCCCACTACCCAACATTTTTTGGTCCTCCTTCACCCACTTCTTTCCCTACCTTTTTTTTAAACGGGCTCTTTTTGGTGGCCACGTAGGACGGTTAAAGATCCCCTGCGATCGCCCTCTTCTGAGCTAGTCAATTGTTGCCCCTTCTCGCGAGCCTCTCGCCGCGTCTCGACCGTTTTCCGTCTAGCCGCCCTCCCGCTAGCGAGCCCTCATGGGTCGAGAGTCGAGCCTCGAGCCTCATGGTCGGTTGTCGACCATGCGACTTGTCGCCTCGGGTGCCGTATACAGGGGTCGGGTATCGACCGTGGGAGTCAAACGGGCCGCGTTGTGCTGGTCGGCTAAGTCGCACCCGTCGACTGTGTCGTATTGGTCGACTAAGTCGTACCGGTCGATGGTGTTATGCCGATCGACTAAATCGAGCCAATCGACCTTGTCACATCGGTCCTGTCAAACGTAACGGTTGACCATGTGAGTGTTTGTCAGCCATGCGAGTCATACCCTTGCGCAGGTCAAGTGCGTCGACCCTCCCCTCATGGGTCGACCAGTTCAACCCCATCTTGCGTGTTGTGCGGGTCGACCATGTTGACTCCTCTCGCTTGGGTCGTTTGAGTTGATCATGTCGACCCCCAACGCCTAGGTCGAGTGGTTCGGTCGTGTTAGGTCTCGATATCACGTCTATTTTTTGTTGTTGCTTTGCATGCACGAAATACTTGTACCGAGCCTTACTCTTGTTATTTTTCAGATACCATTATCAAGCAATTCGAGGTGCAAAAGAAATAGGCTAGGTCCACATGATGGACCCTCCAACTGGGATCGAGCGTAGTGCCTCTCGGCACATACCCGTAGTCAGAGCCATTATGCTCCACTTTTTGTCGAAGTAGCTACATTGCGGGGGTGACCACCTTGCGTGGGCCGCTCACACTGCGTGGGTCGAGCTCGTTGTGTCGGTCTGCCACATCGCGCGGGTCGATCGTGCGCCCATGTGAGCTCGATCAAGCGAGATAAGGATCGAGTTTAAGAGCTCAATCACGTGTAGTCGGGGATCGTGTATGGGCCTCGATCTATGTCCTTCCTCATTTTGTGTGGTATACGCATGGTTCATGATGTGTACGTGTTCGACGCGTGATCTTCAGTCTTTGATGTGTCGACCTGCAACACGCTGAACCTGCGAGACGTCGATCTATGGTGCATGGTCTGCGATGCATCGACCGACGTATCGATCTGCGCTGCATCAACCGACGTATCGATCTGCGCTGCATCGACCATCGAGGCGTTGACATATGATCTGCGAGGTACCGACGTAAGAAGTGTCGACCTGCGGGGCGTCGGTCTGTGTTGCATCGACCGTGGAAGCGTCAACGTGCGGAACATTCAATGTCGGTCTGTTATTCGTACATGAGGAATTGGAGCTCGACTTGCGCTTAAGGTGTCTGAGCTCTATCCTCGCGTATGAGGTGTCGGAGCACAATCCTCGTGCTTGTGGTGTCGCGCTTGAGGTATTGCGCTTGAACGCGATACGTCGCGCCGTGGTGCGTCAATTTGTGACTTATCGGCCTTCGTAGTGTCGACCTACGTAGTGTTCGACCCGCATGGTGTCGAACTACATGGTGTTCGACCTGCTTGGTGTAGACCTGCGTGGTGTAAACCTGCGTGGTCCTGTCGGTAGTACGTCGACCATGGGTCAGAGGTATCAACCACCCCCGTGGGTCAGACAAGTCGACATGCTTCGACCACCCGTCGTGGGTCGAGCACACCGACCGTACGTCGACCATGCATGCCGGGTAGAACATGTTGATCGCGAGCAGGTCTTGTCGACCGTGCGTCTACCATGGCCAGTGGTATCGGCTCCTAAAGTGGGTCGAACACATAGACCGTGCTTTGACCACCCACCGTGGGTCGAGCATGTCGATGCAGCGATCCTGCGTTCCCCTAAGTCAATCGTGCACCGACATGCATAGTCTTTACTTTCTGCGTGACCCTGGGTCGATCGCACACCTGCAAAATGGATCGATCGCGCACCCGTATGGGGCGATCGTGCACCTGTGGGGTCGATCGTTTGCTCACATGGGTCAATCGCGCACTCGCGTAGTTCAATCAACCCGAGTGGCCTTGAAAATCTTGCGTGAACTTTGCCCCAGTCGAATCTTGCCCTAAGGTTCCTAGTTGACTTTCTGGCGTACGGTCCTCGGGACCATATATCCTTAGACGTTCATTGACCGAGCACCTGGCGCATGAGAGTTTTGAGGGCCAAGGCTCGAGCCTAAATCATTTCGCTGGTAGCCGCTATGTCGAGGGTCGACCCCTTGGGCCGGTTGCCAATCGACCCTTAATGGTCGACTCCTTGGGGCGCATAGGTCGATGCTGGGGCGCATAGGTCGATGCTGGGGTGCATATGTCGATACTGGGCCGAATAGGTCGATGTTGTCGACGCCCAATCGACCCTAGGTACATGCTCGATCGTTCGAACAGGTCGAACCACCCACGATCCTTGCCATCCAGTTCGGTACTATAATCCCAGATATGGGACTCCCCCTTATTTGCGACTACACGCGACGAAATTCGTGTAGTTGCAAATATTACGTTCGTGTGTGTCGTTTTTATTACTTATATATTCTTATGCTGTTATACACGGGTCGACCGTGTCAACTACGGCTCGACCACATCGACCTCGAGTGCACATTGTCAGCTTGAGTGGGGGTCGACTGTGTGGGTCGGACACTCTAATCGCGAGTCGGTCGTGTCGACGGCGCGTCGACCATGGGCCATCTGCGTGTGTCGACCATGGTCAACGGTAGACCAATTTGTGCCGATCGACCAGATTGTGTGGGTCGATGACATTGCGTGGGCCAACCACCTTTAGTGGGTCGACCACGTCACGCGGGACAACTACATCTCGTGGGCCAACCACCTTGCGTGGGTCGATGCGGAGCGAATTCGGGCGGGGTGAAGGCATCGCGCAGGGCGACGACATCACGTGGGTAAACCACTTTGCACGGGGCGACATCGTGTGGGGCGACAATGTGCGGGGCGAAGGCATCGCACGGGGCGACAACATCACGTGGGTCGACCACTTTGTGCTGGGAGACATCGCGCGGGGCGACGACATCATGTGGGTCGATCACCTTGCATGGGTCGACCACGTTGCTTGGGGCGAAGGCATCACGCGGGGCGACAACATCTCGTGGGCCAACCACTTTGCATGGGTCAACGACGTCGCGCGGGGCAATATCGTGCGGGGCGACAACATCATGTGGGTCGATCACCTTGCGTGGGTCGACCACATCGCTTGGGGCGACATCGTGCGGGGCGACGATATCATGTCGGTCGATCATCTTGCGTGGGTCGACCACGTCGCATGGGACGACATCGCGTGGAGCGACTTCATGCGGGGAGAAGGCATCGCGCAGGACTACAACATCACGTGCGTAGACCACTTTGCGCGAGGCGACGACATCATGTGGGTCGATCACCTTGCGTGGGTCGACCACGTCGCTTGGGGCGAAGGCATCACGCGGGGCGACGACATCTCGTGGGTCGACCACGTCGCTTTGGGCGAAGGCATCGCGCGGGGCGACGACATCTCGTGGGCCAACCACTTTGCATGGGTCGACCACGTCGCGCGGGCGACATCGAGTGGAGTGACTTCGTGCGGGGCGAAGGCCTCGCGCAGGGCTACAACCTCACGTGGGTCGCCCACTTTGCGCGGGGCGACGACATTGCGCGGATGATCTAGCCTTAAGGCTTTTTATCGACCCACATGGCTCTGAAAGACTATTGCCCGATCGT